GAGCCTCCTGGAGGCCCCCTGGGGCTGAGGAGAATAAAGGGCACAGTCTGGAACTGTCCTTGGGCATGTCCCTTCCTTACAGCAAAGCAGTTGCCAAAGGGAGCCCAACTGGCTGAAGAAATTGTTCCTTTTGTGGGGACTGGTCGCAGGGCCTTGCCTGCAGAGCAAAGCCCAGGCTAGGGACAGAGCGATCTGTCCACGCTGGCTGTGGAGACAGGCCCCCGCAGGCCACTCTGCACTCTGCCTCCTGTGTGTGACAGCTCCGACAGGCTGTCCTCACTGCGGCCAGCCAGGCGGGCTCATCTGCGCCCTGGCCTCGCAGGCAGGCCTGTCCACATACCGACAGCCCAGACAGGCCTGTCTGCATTCTAGCTGCAAGGACAAGCCTGTTTATTGTCTGGCCACCTGGACAGGCCTGTCCACGCTCTGGCTGCCCAGACGGGCCAGTCTGCACGGTGACAGCCTGTGTTGGCTCAGTGAAGAAATGCTGGCCAGAGTATGGTTGCTAAGCCCTCAGAACTTGGAAAACAAAATACCTTTATGGAGTCATCTCTGAGTTTGCAAACACAGGAAAGAGTATAAAATCTAACTCCACTTCATCCCACAGGCTGCTGGGGAGTCCTGACCCCAGAGCCACTTGGGCAGCTTGGGCAGAGCATCCCAGCTGAGCTCGTTCCTGGGTCCTGGCAGGCCCCTGTCAGTGGGAGGTTGGCCCGGACGTTTCCGAGGGCCCCATCTCCACCTCAGATGAGCTTTGCGAGAGATCCTGCTGGGACGTGAGAGGAGACAGGCTGTGGCACATGGAAGGCAGCAGGCCTTGGTCCTGGGCGGGGCCCCCTTTGGGGAGGGCTGTTTGAGGCCACATGTTATGGCGCGGTGGGAGGGCTGGCTGGGCTGGGACACAGACCCAGGGCACTGTTGTTACGTCTTCAGAAATTGAAAGCAGTGGTGGCTGCGGGGCTCTGAGACAGGGCAGGGCCCCTAGAGCCTCTCTTGGCATCTGGCCCTGCAGGTGCCCCTGCCTCCAGGAGGGCCTGGCCAGGGCTTGAAAGACTTGTGTTGGAGTCCTAGCCCTGACTTGCTCTGAGGCCTGGGATAAATGTGTTCAGCCTTAACCCTGTCACCCAGAAAAGATGGACCATCACCCCTGCCTGCTGTCCTCATGGGCCAACGTGACGGGAAGTCACAGCCAGGGCTGGCTACGCCGGCCCACCACTCCCCAGCTGGGCTTTCCCTCTGAGACTCCATTTCTGGTAAATGGAGCTAATTCCGAGCTCTCCGGGTGGGAAGAATGGGTGAGGCTGGCCCCTGTGTGCTCAGGAGAGCAGTAAGTTGAAATCCTTCCCTTTGCTCCAACCCTGGAGGCCTCCCCTGGCCCCTGCGGCTCTGCAGGCTCAGACATTGGTCTCGAGCTCGCTGATTTCTATGGTGCAGTGGTCCAGGCTGGCGGCAGCCGGCTCCTCCTCCTGCTCCACCTGGATGGGGACATGGTGGGGACAGGCGGGGCCCAGGGTCAGCTCGGAGGCCTCCGCCACGCTCTTCACACAGCCGTTCTGCTGGGTCGCCATGATCTCCTGCAGGCTCACCGGCTTGGTCTCGCAGGGCGGCAGTTTCTGAGGAGGGAGACAGGCCTTGGTAGCAGGTGGAGGGGCTGAGGGTAGACACCAGGGAGGACTGAACAAGCGAGGGCTGGGAACCACATGGTCGGTTTTCCTACGGATGTACTGTGGGACCTCGGCAGGTCACAGGGCCTCTCTCGGCTGCCCTGCCACCGTCTGCAGCTGTCGTGGTAGAGGAGGGGACCTGACCCACAGGGTCCACAAGGGAACCGGGCCCCTGCCTGGGCCCCAGCATCCTCCTGGCGGAGTGGGAGCCTGCTGCTCGTGGCTATTGAAGGAGCCCGAAGACCATGAAGCCCGTGCGGATGTGCAAACATTTGGGTTGCTGTGGGCAGCGCCACCCGCCCTAGGGTACAGCTCCCCGCGGGCAGGGCTCTGGCTTCCTTTGTTCCTGTGTCTAGAGCAGGGCCAGCCGTGGTGGCTGCTCAACAACTAGCTGTGAGAGGAGTTAGTCACCCCGGTACCAGATGAGAAACTGAGGCAGGGAGGCTGGAGGGATTGGCTGATGGCTCCCCGGCTGGTGAGTGGAAGATTGGTGCCCATCCCACCTGGGCTCCACCCGCCAGGGCCTTTGGGTGGCCAGGCTGGGGGGAGGCACTGCTCTCACCTCGGTGTCCGTGTCCTGAGCGAAGTCCTTCCGGCAGACGTGGGCCATGATCCCCGCGGCCAGCGCATCCCCCAGCACGTTAATCATGGTGCGGAAGCGGTCCCTGGTGGTGGCGAGCGGTGGGCACTCGTAAGGGGAGCCGGGAGAGGGCAGCGCCCAGCCCAGCAGCCCCTGAGGGCACCAGCCGCCAGGGCAGAGCCCACAGCGAGGCGCTTTTCTAGTCCTCTCAAGCCCACCCCTCCCTCAGGGATGCTGAGGAGGGTTGATGCAGGGCGGGCTTCATGGCGGGTGACTGGACGCCACACAGGGCCTGTGCTAAGAAGGGCCTAGTCTTGGTTTCACGGTTTGCTCTCACTCTCTTGAAATCCCTTATAATTTGTAAACAAGGGACCCCACATTTTTGTTTTTGAAAACTGGGCTCTACATTATGCAGCCAGGCCAGAGCCATTACCTCTGTAGGTTTCCCCTGCCTACCCCAAAAGTCTGCTGCCTGCTGCCTGCTGCCTGCGGGGTGGGGGCGGGAGGGGTGCACCCCACTCACAGAGCCCAGTCGACAGCAATGATGAGGGTGATGTCGTCAGTGGGCAGGCCCACGGAGGTGAGCACGATGACCATGGTGACGAGCCCGGCCTGGGGGATGCCAGCTGCCCCGATGCTGGCTGCGGTGGCTGTGATGCTGCAGAGGGTGGGAGAGGAGGAGGAGAGAGAAGCAGGAGGGGCAGGCTGCCTCGTTGGAACCCTCGCTCCAAAGGGGAGGCCAGAATGCCAGCACCTTTGTGGACAGCCAAACGGGGCAGGGTTGTTAGGAAGGCCACATCAAGGAGTTCTTGGGGGGACACGTTCCTGCTTGAGGTCCTATAGCCCCATGGGCCCCACACCTGGCCTCAGCAGGACCCCCTGAGGAATCTGTGGGAAACCCTGTGCCTGGAGCCGTTGCCAGGAAGGTTTTCAGGAAGCCGCTGGGAGATTCTGATCTGCCCAGCCTCCCTCGGGGGCCTGGTGCCCAGGGTCAGCCTAGTGCCCTCAGGCTGGCGTGCGAGGCCTTCCCTCAGCCTCTGCCCCTCACCTCAGCACCCTTGCCTCTGCTCCAGCCGCACCAGCAGCCCCTCCAGCGTCCCGCCCCGGGCCTCTGCCCCCTCTCTGCCCTGCATGTCCAGAATGCAGGCCCTCCTCTGGGTCTCAGCTCCCGCCCTGCAGGGCAGCGTTGGGGGGGTTGAGGGGAGCCTGTGCCACCAGTCTCAGGGATCAGGTCACGTCCCACCCCAGCGCTGACATGGCCTAAAAGGAGCCCCTCACCCTCTCTGGGCCTCAGAGACCCTATCAGATCAGGGAGCTTGAGCATCCTCCAGGCCCTCCCAGGAGTCACCCTCCCACCCCAATCCCCCCGGGCTGGGGGCACCAGGAGTGCACCTGATGGTGATGATCTGGCCGAAGTCCAGCTCATAGTTGTTGACCTGGGCGATGAAGATGGCAGCCACCGCCTCGTAGAGCGCAGTGCCGTCCATGTTGATGGTGGCGCCCACGGGCAGCACGAAGCGGGCGATGCGCCGGTCAATGTGGTTGTTCTCCAGCAGGCACTTGAAGGTGATGGGCAGTGTGGCCGAGCTGTGGGCGGAGGGGCCAGCGTCTGCCCTCCATCCTCCTCCAGGATGGTCAGGGCCTCTGGGTTGC